AATGGTCAAATGTCCCCCTAACCTATACTCGAATTTCCAACTACACACTTGAATTTCACGGGGGTCCTATCACCCCCCTAAACTGTTAAAAATTGAAATAATTACACCCCTAAAAAGTCACAACCACATTTATGTTGATAAGTGAAATGCGCGCGATTGACAGGTGTAAATTTTATTAAAAACTTTTTTTTTAATTTTTTTCCTTATTGATTCATCATTTAAAAACTTTGTTGAAGGTTAAAAGGTCAAAATTTATAGATCTGTGTCTTTTGATCTTCTTATTTGAATTTTGTTGATTATAATGTTGAATATTAGTTGTTTGAAGCTGAAAACACTGTTTAAATGATTTCATAGCTGCAATTTTTAGTTCTAAGAACGCCGGATTTCCATGGAAATGGGTAAGCTTCAATATGATTTTTTTGAATCTATATTCTTGAATTGGAAGCAAGTGATTTCGTTGATGGTTTGAAGAATTTTGTGTGGCTGAAAATTGAAGTTCAAGGTTGAAACCGTGAAAGCACAAATTAAACCACCATTAAAGTTAGTTCAAAAGCTTGAGTTCTTATTTCGACTTGCCACAAACGATCTCCGTTTTAAGTGGGTAATATACCAAAAGAATCGAAACGGTGAGAAAAGTTTATATCTAGTGATGAAAAACTGGTTGCATTTTTAGATTTGCAAGGAAATTATCAATTGTTAAATAAGTTGAAGAATATTATTTGAAGCTAAAATTAGTAATGGCAAGATGATGAGTGACGATGAGATTTGGTGGCTGCCATTGATGATCTACTTCTAGTAGGTATGAAGAAGAAAACAAATTAGAACTAGAAACAAATACAAGATAAAGGGAGAGAAAAAAAATTATGAAAAAATATTAAAAGTAAAGTTTTAATATATTTTTTTTAATGTTCACTCTTTCAAGGAGAGTGCAATACACTCACTTGCCATGTAGGCATTTGGGGTGATGATAATTTTAGTTTTAAACAGTTTAGGCGGGTGATAGGACTCCCGTAAAGAATAAGTGTGTAGTTGAGAATCCAATCATTGCTTAAGGGGGCATTTGACCATTTTCTCTATTTTTTTAATATGGAGGGGTTCCATCATTTTCAACACAATGCATCAAGCGAAGATTTTTACAAACTTCTTAACTTTTATCCTTTTTCACCACACCCCCAACTTAGGCTTTTGGCCTAAGTTGGCTATTCAAATGAACCAATGCTTCATGAAGGTTATAGGTGATGGGACAAAAAGGCAAAGTTATTTATGTTTCATCCAAAAGAAAAAGGGCAAGCTCAAATTGTGCCAAGCAAGGTTTACACTCTCACAAGGTGGTCATCAAGAGGTATATAATCAATTTTGGTTCACTCTTCCCGAATTGTGCCTAAGATCATCTCAATCATTTGCTTACATTAGTTAATTAAACTAACTGGGCAAGTTCTAGGTATTACCAAGCATATATTTCAAGAAATTCTCACCACACATGGCATTTAACACAATCATCAAACAAGACTCTACAATTTTCAGCTAGCGTGCAACGATCATCACAAGAGGTCAACTCAACAACCGACTAGTCACAATGAGATGTTAAAAGTTCACATATGACTTATGTAACTCAATTTGCCTCATTCGATATTGTTCAATCTAGAGCACTATTTAAGTCATCGGTATTGATCACAACCAACATACAAAATTTCAAGAGAACATCCACAGAAAAGCCACATTAACAAACACCAAGATGTGGCAACTTTTAATTCGGATCAAAACCAACATTTAATTACCCCAACACCACCAAATAAACCTAGCATTGTCCTCAATGCAAAAATGAAAATAATGACACAATTAAAAAAGAAAGAGCACTAATTGAAAGAAGTCGGATCAGAAGAACTCTTCACTATGTAACCAATCGGCGAAGGTTGCTTGAGACCACTGAACCACTCGGTGAACAGTCGAACTACATATGGTTTGCCATAATTTCCAGAACATTGGTCATTCAAGAGGGACCGAAAGGTGAGTGAACTCAGTCTCGCCGAATCATTTGGCGAACCACCGAACAGACTGATAGCTTCGCCAAATTTTACAGAATGGTGGTCCTCCGGTTAGGGCCAAAAGGCGGACCAAATCGCAACCGCCGAAAAGGTTGTATCATCATAGAATCACCAGTCCCTGCACATTCTGTAAAAATTATTTGAAAACTACAAAAGTTTGGGTTGCCTCCTAAGAAGCGCCTTATTTAAAGTTGGGGAACGACGTGGAAATGCTCTCAAGAATCTTCCAAATACACCACTTCAATTATCGATATTTCATGTCAATCTCCAAAATAAAGCTTCAAATGTTGTCCATTCACTTTAAAAGCTGGTATGTCTTTGCCTTCAACTTCAATAGCCCCATTTGTGAATGCTCGAGTTACTTTGAATGGGCCAGACCACTTCGATTTGAGTTTACCCGGGAAAAGTTTAAAACGAGAATTGTAGAGCAAAACAAAATCACCAACTTTGAACTCTCGCTGAAGGATTTTAGCATCGTGCCACTGCTTCATTTTCTCCTTATAAAGGGTTGAACTTTCATATGTGGTCAACCAAAAATCCTCTGACTCATGAAGTTGATTTACTCTCCCTTTCGAAGAATTCTCCCAATTCTGATTTAATGCCTTCAACTCCTATAGTGCCTTATGTTTAAGATCAATTGGCAAGTGACAAGATTTTTCAAATACCAGTTAATATGGTGACGTGCAAATTGGTGTTTTGAAAGCAGTGTGATACGCCCAAAGAGCATCATCCAGCTTCCGAGACCAATCCGTTCGGTTTGCATTCACTGTTTTTGCCAAAATACTTGCAATCCCTCAATTTGAAACCTCGACTTGGCCGCTTGTTTGTGTATGATATGGTGTTGCAACTTTAAGCTTGACTCTGTATTTGCTCAACAACAATGCAAGCATTTGGTTGTAAAAATGAGACCCTCCATCACTGATGATAGCATGTAGGGTACCAAATCATGCGAAAATATAGCGCTTTAAGAATTGCACAACACTCTTTCCCTCATTGTTGGGTAATGCTATAGCTTCCACCAATGAAATCTATTCCCCAAACATCAAACAATTCAACCTCTAGGATGGGATTAAGAGGTAGCTCATGTTTTTTTGATACCCCTCATTGCGTTTGGCATTGTATGCATTGTTTAACAAAGCCATGCACATCTTGGTATAGTGATGGACAATAGTATCCACTTTGAAGCACTTTGGTTGTTGTTCGCACCCTGCAATGATGTCCATCAACAGGTCAAGCATGACAAGAATTGAGAATTTCATTGACTTCCTCTTCCGGTATGCACCGTCGAATGATATGGTCTACACATTCTCTGAATAGATATGGTTCATCCCAGAAATACCTCTTTACATTGAACAAGAACCGTTTTTGTTGGTAGAAGTTCACACCCACGGTTATTATTCCACACACTACAGAGTTAGCAAAGTTAGCATACCAAGATGGGTTGCCTTGGGTTACCCTCATTACCGTTTTATCCGGAAATTCAGCCACAATGTCCCTTTCTTTGGAATCAACCATATTTGTTTCTAACCGAGATAAATGATCTTCCACTTGGTTTTCACACCTCTTCCAATCTTTTACTTCGAAATCAAACCCTTGCAACAACAATACCCACTGAATCAACCTTGGTTTTGCATCCTTCTTAGCCATCAATTATCTAATGGTCGTATGATCTGTGTGCACCACCACTTTGGTTCCTGAAAGATATGCTTTGAATTTTTCAAACGCATACACCACCACTAACAATTCATCCTCCGTGACGGTATAATTTTTTTGCACCGAATTCAATGTCTTACTTGCATAATAAATTGGGTGAAATAATTTCCCTTTTCGTCGACCAAGAACAGCTCCTAAAGCAATACTACTAGCATCACACATGAGTTCAAACGGAATACTCCAATCCGGGGCAATAATGATTGGGTCTGACACTAGTTTTTCTTTCAAGCACAAACATGCTTTTAGGCAAGCATCATCAAAATTGAAGGTGGATTCCTTTTGTAGCAATTTGTAGAGTGGGTGTCCTACTTTGGAGAAGTCCTTTATAAAACGCCTGTAGAAGCCCGCATGGCCTTGAAAACTCCAGACACCTTTTACCAAGATAGGAGGGGCATCTTGGCAATGACTTCGACTTTAGCTTGATCCACTTGCATTCCTTCTCCTGAAATGTTGTGCCCCAAAACAATGCCCTTTTTTACAATGAAGTGACATTTCTCCCAGTTTATAACTAAGTTGGTTTCCACACACCTTTGTAGCACTTGCCCAAGATGTTCAAGAAAAGCTTCAAACGAATCACCAACGACTGAGAAATCATACATGAACACTTCCATTGAGTCTTCCACCATATCTCCAAAAATAGAGAGCATGCATTGCTGAAATGTAGCCGAACATTACATAACCCAAAAGGCATCCCCTTGAAATCAAAGGTCCCATAGGGACATGTGAAAGTAGTTATCTCTTGATCTTACGATGCAATGGAAATCTGGTTGTATCCGGAATAACCATCTAAAAAGAAATTCCATCCACACCCCACAAGCCTGTCAAGCATTTGATCGATAAACGACATTAGGAAATGATCTTTCTCGGTCCATGTATTTAATTTTTGGTAGTGCATGCATACACGCCAACCAGTGACCAGCCTCATAGGTACAAGTTCACATTTTTCGTTTGGAACCACCGCAATGCCTCCTTTCCTTGGTACACATTGCACGGGGCCTACCCATTTGCTATCCGCAAAAGGTTACACCACACCTATATCTAACCACTTGATAATTTCTTTCTTCACCACTTCTTGCATAGGCAGATTTAACCTCCTTTGATGCTCAACACTGGGTTTACATTCACTATCCAATTGGCTTTTATGAGTGCAAATCCGAGGGGAATACCTACAATCCCATCAATTGTCCATCCTATGGCCTTGATGTACCGCTTTAATATCACTACAAGAAACTTCACTTTCCATTAAAGCAAGTTTGTTGCAATGATGACGGGTAAGGTATTGTTTGCTCCCAAAAATACATATTGAAGATGAGATGGGAGCACTTTCAACGCAAGTTTTGGAGGTTCTTCTTTGGATGGTTTGGCGGGGGGACTCTCTCGATATTTTAGATCATTATCTAGCTTCAATGGGTTTCTTGAATGAGCACCTAGTCCCGATAGAGCAGCCACAACTTCATCATACCCTTGAACTTCATCCCCATCATAATTTGAAAGAACAACAACAAGGGGTTCACCCATACACATCATTTCACTCACACTAGCCACTGCTTCATCAATCACATCAATTGTTGAAACCACATGAATGTCACTAGGTTGCTTCATCGATTTGCACGCATTGAATGTAACTTCCTCATCATTTACCCGGAACTTTAACTCACCACTTTCAACGTCCACTAGAGCTCTTTCGGTAGCCAAAAATGGTCTACCGAGATAATAGGCACCTCCGCATCAATCTCACAATCCAAAATAACAAAGTCAATCGGAAAGATAAATCTATCCACCTTCACCAATATATCATAAAGAATTCCAATACGATGTTTAATGGACCGGTAAGCCATGAGAAGTCGCATTGTTGTGGATTTAGGTTCACCCAGCCCAAGTTGCTTGAAGATGGTGTACGACATCAAGTTAATACTCTCCCCTAAGTCGCACAAAGCCTTGGCAAACTGAAGCATCCCAATGGTACTTGGGATAGTAAATGCTCCCGGATCCTCTTTTTTTGTGATCAAATCACTGGTCATAACTACACTACAATTGTGAGAGACTTCAATCATTTCAAAATCCATACTTATTTTCTTAGTGACCAATTCCTTCACGAATTTCGCATATCCCGGCATCTCCAATAATGCTTCCACTAAAGGAAGGTTTATGGAAAGTGTCTTCAACACGGATAGAAATTTCTTAAACTTTTCATCTTCATTCTACTTTTTGAGCCTTTGAAGAAAATGAGGATTGATTTTGGGCAACGATTTTACCAACTTTGAAGAAAACGTAGCCCTTTCTTTAGCTATTTGTAGCTCCCTGGTGGTGATTTGCCTTGTACATTCTTCCTCCTCTTCGGGCATGTTATTATCCGGTGCTTGGTCGGACCTCTCTACATCAATGGTGTCTTTCTTTTCTCCACTAGTGTTTAACTCATCATTCACCTTCACATCACCACCTGTTATTTTCCCACTTCGTGTCAAAACCGCCAAACATTTGTCATGATCAGCCTTTGAATTTGCTATATCATCATTTTCACACCTTTCCAATAGCTTGGGTTCTAATTAGGCTGAAAATTGGCTCATTTGACATTCAATTTGCTTGATAGAATCTGCGTGAGAGTTTGCTTTATTATTCATGGATGAGAATTCATCCCTCATTTCCTTAACCATGTCATCAGGCCCTTAAACCTTATCTACAATGCGTGATAACAATTCATCCACTCGAAGGCTCCCTAACTTCCCCTAGATTTTAGGTTGTCACTTGTTTGTATGTGATACACCTTATGATTATCTTCTCTCCTCCAAAATTCATTTTGGTCAGCCCAATCTCGATTGTAACCTCTCTGTTCATCTTCAATAAATGTGTTCCAACCTTAATTCCCACCCGACTTCAAAGGGCCTGGGTGAGAATCCTCGTCTAGTCGTGACACCTTTTTCACTTCATTATTTTTAGAAATACCTCCCATCACTTGTTCATTTAGCAACACCATTTGGGACATCATCTTTGCTACCTTGTCGTCCCATTCTTGGTTTTTTCTACCTGCTCTTTTGTCAGCCCAAAATTCAAAGGAGACACCTGATCTTCCTTAGTGTACCTTTTACGATTGATCTTTGTCATTTCGTCGAGGAGAGTGGATGCTATAGTAAATGGTTGCTGCATGATTCCTCCTCGAACATATGGTCAGACACCCCTTTGTTTATTGAATCGAGACTCCAATAGAAGTATTGTAGCAACACAATGCTTAGGAGTCCATGAGTTGGGCACTTGAGCAGCAGGTTCTGGAACCTCACCCATGTTTCATGAATCGTTTCCCCATCTATTTGCTTAAAGTTTTGAATATGATCCCTCAGCTTCATCATCCTTGAGGGAGGGAAAAACTTGACATAGAATAGTTTGGTCAGTTCCTCCCACGAAGTGATTGTTTCTCTTAGTAACTCAACCAACCACCTTGTTGCCTCCCCCATTATAGAGAATGGAAACAACTTAAGTCTAACCGACTCTTGTGTGATATTCTCGAAGACAAATGGGCCACACACGTCCATGAAGTTTCTGATATGCTCATAGGAATCCTCATGAGCCAAACCTTCAAACGAACCCTTCATATGCAATAGCTGTAACATCAATTTTGTCACATGGAATACAACATTTCCCATCACTAGAGGTAAACGAATCGCACCTACATCATCCAATTGAGCTTTGATGGCATCATTCAAATTACTGATGTCATCTTGATGTCCAAGTTGGTTGGCGTTGCTTCCGTTCACAATTTGTCACTTATTCGAGAAAAGCCAACAACAAACACAAAACAAAGTAAGTCGATTCAACTACAAACAAGATTAGATCACAGCTTCAATAAAAGAATTCTAAACACCACTCCCTGACAGCGACGCCATTTTTTATAACGTTCAACTACACTTCATCCAATCATAAGTGTAGGCGATCGCTATATAATATAAACCCAACGAAGAGTTGGGGTCGATCCCACAGGGAGTGATGCAGTAGAGAATTCAATTACAAAGTGAAAGCCATTTTCTAATCGGTTGTAGGAATATAAATTATTGAAACCATTAAAGTAATATATAGGGGTTGACAACTAGTGTCAAATTGGGGGATTGAATTTGTCATTTAACAACTACTAAAACAGGGGAGTAAGCAAGTAGAAATGGATCCTTAGGGATGTGATCGATTAATTGACAATTTCTCTATACGGGTGATTAATAATTATCAAAAGTCATTGAATCGTAGAGGATAGGTTAGGCTTTAGATGTAATAGCCATCTCTCGATCAACTATCACAAATCAAGTGAGTTCTCTCGAACGTCGACAAGCATCATAATTATAAACAGCCCAAAACCCCAATTTATCTACTCTCGAGCTAAATAGGTGATTAATGCTTCAAGGAAACTTCATCCAATTCTAAGTGTCAATGATACCTACTCAGTATAAAACCCAACTTAGTGAGTTGGGGTCGAATCCAACGGGGAGCAGTACGTGTTAAAAATTCAATAGGGAAGTATGAACATGATCAAATCAGTCATAGGAATAAAAATTATCAAATGAAGACATCATTCAAATCAGTGGGTGACACGAATGTCAAATGGGGGGGTTTTGGTTTGGAATTATCAACTACAAACAGTGGCAAACAATACAAAATAACAATAATGAGACAGGTTCTTGGGATGTGATTTGATTATATGCTAATATAGACAAATGGGTAATTGCAACTATTAGAAAATAGCTAGATATTAGTGAGTAAGCTAGGCTATAGAGGAGGTAAACTTTCTCTCGAACAGCAACAAGCATGCAAATTAAGAACATCCCACACCTTAGTCCATTCATTCTCTCGAGCTGAATGTATGGAATTGGGTTTAGGATTCACTCTCTCGAGCTGAACTCAGGTCAACCCAATACCCACAGACCATTAATCAATAAGTTTAGTTTTAGAACCTCTCTCTCGAGTAAGCCAAAAACATAAGGGTCGAACTGCATTTGCAACTACAATTCTTAAATTAAACCACAATTAATGATTGAACTTACTTCTAAATAGCATTTAAACTAACAGTTAGCAATACCCATAAACTAAATCAGCCCATAATCACACCCCAAGAATTAGGGTTTTAGCTAGACATCATAAAAAGGTAAAAACATTTACCAAAATTGATTATCCATCAATTGGGTAAGTGTAGATTCGTCCTTACACTGCTCCAATTCGAAGAATCTCAAAGTCCCACTTCCAATTTCTCAAAACTGAAAATTAAACTTCAATTTTTCAAAGCTTAGGAAAAACTAGAGAAAACTGTCTCCAGAGCTCAAAACTTAATAAAAGACTAAAAATATATGAGCTAAGATACTAAACTAAATGTTCAAAAAAGTATTTATAGTCGCCAAAAATGTGCTGCTAAGAGTCACTCGGCGAAGTAAGTCGGGCTCGCCGAACCAGTCGGTGAGCCTCCATTTGGTCACTTCCATCGCCCTACTGCCTTGGCATTCAGCATCCTCAAGGTCTGTAACTTTGGGCGATCTAACCCTGCATCGTGGAACCACTCGGCGATCCACCGACTGCTACTTTCTCTCGCCAACTTGGTTCTTTCCTTCAGGGCTTGGCACACTGGAACTTTAGGCAGTCAAGTAGCCATTCGGCGACTCGCCAAGTGGAATTGGCGATCGCCAGGTTTGCCTTTCTTGATTCTTTCAGCCTGTTTTGTTCCTTTTAATTTGCAAATTAGTGTCCTTGCTTTGTTTCTCAATTCATATACCTGGAAATCAAGGGTTTTACATCAGTTATTGGCACAAAATAAGCATTTGAGAACACCAAATCTATATAAATAAAGCCCTAAATGAGTCCAAATCTCGGACTCATCAACACCCCCAACTTAAACTTTTGCTTGTCCTCAAGTTCAGCAGTTCAAAAAGGATGTCTCAAACAGTGCTACAAAAGACTCAAACATGAAATGCACAAGTTGTGACTCATCATTATCAAAGATTCTCAAGTTCACAATACTTGCTTAAAAGGCAAGTTCAAGCTCACAAAGGAACTAAAATGCCCTCACAACAAAGATGATTCCATATTCACACACAATTGTTCAACACTTTATAGCTCCAGAATCACATACAACTCTCACACTCACAAAGATGAACACATGCATGACTTCACCCTTAGGTTTGCCCTTATTTTCCAATCAACATTCACTTTAGCTCACTCAAAATCAAAAAGGTCTTTTCAAGGCTTGTAACGGGGTTGAGTGTAAAGGTATGGTAATTTAGGCTCAGTGGCTGCTATCCTCATGAAATGTGGTATGAACATCACTTTCTTCCCTTTTCATCAACATTTTCACTTATGCTCAAAATTCATCCCATTATTCACTTCTCATGGAATACCGGACACCCCATTTCTTTTGCAACTTTATTTCACAACTTTTTCATTCTTTTTCTTTCTTCTTTTATTTCTCTTCTTTTTTGTATGGAGGGGTTCCATATTTTTTAAGTCCATGGATCAAGGGGGACTTCTTCACACTTCTTGATTTTCCTTCGCTTTTCACCACACACTCAACTTAGGCTTTTGGCCTAAGTTGGCTATTCAAATACACCACACTTCATGAAGATTATGGGTGAATGGATAAACAGGGGTTACAACTGCATGAAGTTTCTTCCAAGAAAAGGACACGACTCAAAGGGGTTCAACAAAGTTCGCACACTGACAAGGTTGGCCACAAAAGAGGTATATTGTCAAATTGTTTCACTCTTCAAAATTGTTGCCTAAGATCATTTCAAGAGCTTGCATCACTTAGTCAACCGGACCAACGGGGCAAATTCTAGGTGTCATCACACAAGGCATTGGCACCAATATCAAACAAGACTCCACACTTTCGCTAGTGTGCAATATTCATCACAAAAGACTCATTCGATAATCGGCTAGTTACAACGAGATGTACAAAGTTCACACAGTGTCTAAGCAACTTCATTTGGCCTCATCGTAGCCGCGCATTTATTATTGTTCGATTAAGAGCACTATTCAAGTCATTGGTATTGATCATGACCGATACTCAAATTTGCACAAGAAGAGCCACAATCACACACAAAAGGTGGTAAAATTTTTAGAAAGGGTCAAAAACCATTTGTATTCAAAACAAGGAGCCATAAGCTGAAACATCCACAACACAATATCAAAACACAATTTAAACACAAAAATCCAATAATATATACAAAATATGGTCACAAGAGGTAGGTATGGAAATACCTTACCCTACCACAAATAAAAAGGCAGTTGTCCTCAAATGCAACAAATAGTAAAAAGTCAATAAAAATGACAGAGAGGGAGGGAAAGAAGGGTCCTATCTAAGCAGTCGCTCCATCTATCGGGGCATCAATTCCAGTGTAACACTCTGATCTTGGGCATCAGTGCCCGGGGTAGCAGCAATACTACATCCAACCATGGTGTTGTCTACCAATGAAATCTGGACGGTTGAATCTATCATAGCCTCCTTAACCTCTATAACGCCCTCAAAAATAGATTCCTCATCGACACCAAGCTGCTCCTCATCAGTGTCAGCCTCAGACTCAGCAGCAACTACCTCCTCAACTCGAACCTCATCTCCGGTGGTAGTCAAAGGCACATCTGCATCAGCTGGCATGTCGGGAATCTCCACAGTCACAAAAATAATGGACATATATGTGGACTTCAGCTGGTCCACATCCTTCCTCAGCTCAACAATTGTTGCCTTTAGAGTCGTCACCTCATCAGTGGCCCCTTGACCTCACTCACACACCGCTATCCTTGCCACAAGGGCATTAATAGACATACTAAGAGGTGTCACAGCAGCATTGAGGGACCTCTCAATCATCCTAGGAATTATGGCCTCAAGCCTGGAGGCACGCCTATCAGCAGAATGGGCTAGATTCCCCATCTGTAGTATCGTTCCCTGGGTGAGTGGAGGTCGGGAAGCAGCAACAGGAGCAGTAGACCTAGGAGGCAGGGGAGTTGTAGAGGAACTGGGAGTCACAGAAGGGAGACTAGATATACATGAGGGCTCAGGGGCAAGAGTAAGCAATACTGCCTCTGTAGGTAGTGTTTCAGTAGCAATAACCGGAGAGGAATCCACCGGGGTTGCCTTCTTCTTC